CAATCGTTTTCTAATAATAGGCACTATAGGTCGACGAGAGGTCGTGGCGTGTTAATGGCAACGCGTATTTGTGAAAAGGAAAATGGAGAGAGGTAAGGTGAAAATCTATTGTAGTCTAACCGAATAAGTTTTGTGTTCTTATTTCTGGGATTTAAATATCGTAATACAGTGTTGGCCATGATAAGCTCTGAATCTTCTCTTATTTTCTTTGTTTTTTCCCTTTCTTTCCTTGTTCGTTATTATGTACAATCAACACCATTATTATTGATAATGCTGTGTTATGGGTCGCGCTTTGTAACAAAGCACATTTCACAGCATAGAAGAGAGGATTGTAATGTCGGAACAGCTTTCACTCATGGACAGCACTGCTAGCAGAAATGAACAATGCCCTCGATGCGTCATGTTGTTGATAGGGTTTATAATCCCATATAAATTTAATTCATTCACAGAAATGGTATTATGCATTCTTTGTATGTACATATTGAACGAGGACAATAATATTGCTCGCATAAATTAAACTATGATCGATGCAACAATTTTCATGGACTATCAACTCTGGCAACAACACAATTCATAGAGAGGTATTGGACCAATAAGGTTACCATAAAAATCCAACTAATTACTACAAAATTCGTTGTTCCTTTTTCCATGTAACTCTTTCTCTTTCCTTCTTTACCTATTACATTCTTTCTCTCTTTCTCTCCCTTCCTCCCTCCCTCCCACTCTTGCCGTCTTCCTGCCTTTCCAGTTCTTTTTCCCTCTCCTTTTCCTTTTGTAATCATTATTTCATTTTAGTCGCGTATTACTCCAGTCATGTTACATTTCTAATTCGTATTTGTTCATAGTTACGTATCTGTGAGTGAAATGTGTACTTGTACAATATTTTCTGCCGTATTCCATTTTTTATTTTAAATGAGACACAAGATGGCCTTAACGAATAATGCATTTCTGTGTCATGTAATTGCGAATTGGACTCTGTGTTTCTCCTACTCGATTAGAAATTTAAAATGGAAGCAATTCACAATATTTTTCTTGATAAGGAATTAAAGTAAAGAAAATTAAAATTACACAAAGAGTTTGCTAGAAATTATAAAATCAATGTAATCATACTATTTTAGAGTATTTCATATTGAACTTGCTTTTAAGCCTCTTCTGTCGTATCGATAACAAGTTAAATCAAGTGTAAATGATAATCAGAATTATTTGGTAATGTAATTTATTTCATGCGATGAATTTTTTCATTTGTTGTAATGGGATCTTCACATTGATCGTGTAAATTTATGCATTAAGAATACCGTACACAAATAAGCAACTGTATCAAATGCAAAAGTTAATTTTGACCTAAAGCATAGCATAAAAGCAATCTTTTTATATGCTAATTTCTTCTATTGTAAAACAGTTATCTGAAAAATGGTAAAGAAACAAAATGTCTTTTCTGAATACGTTCTAATACTTGATCAATTAATGATAGGCCCAGTTTATTTAATTCATAATTCTACGTTTATCATTATTACCTTTCAGAAGTAAATGCGAACGTTTTAGAATTTTGTATTTCTCTTTGCCCGTTTGATGTTGACGTAATTTCGAACAGGTGCTTAATAATTTGAAAGTGTTTTGAAAAAGAATATCCTCATTTTTCGACATTTCTCAGTTTACACAGGAAAAATTAATTTTATGGATTATCTATAAGTATACCGCAATTAAATGTCTACTGCGTATTAAGAAATTGTAATATTATTCACATCTGCAACGAGAGAAACTTTACACGTGTTTGTAATTCTACATTTATCTAAACACGAATCCCATTAATTATTCATTGCAACGTTAGTAATGTAACAAGTGAAGCTAATGTAAAAGAAATTTGAAAACTCTGGTTTCTGAACAGATACAGCACATTCAAGCGATTTTACAATTACGCTTCATTTTGATTCTCCGATTTCTTTTCGTTCACTTGAGAATCATTCGAGAAACGTCGTTTCTTGTCAGTTTCATAACGATTACATGTCAGCCAACTTGATCGCCGCAAAGGGATTCACAGAAAACACGTCTGTCTGATATTAAATTTTGCAAATCACCGTAGAGAAACTCGAAACTCGCGTAAAAATACCGTGTTCCTGTGAGAAATTAAACAAGAATTCCAGAGAACGACTGAATTTTCTCGATGAATCAAATATCCTGATGAACAGAATCCTCGAGTGGTGACGATTCGCGTGACCCGCTAAAAATATCCGAACCTCGGATGGAAAGAACAGTTTGTTAAAGTCCTTTATGCGTTTACCGTACACGAAAAGGAACAAAATATCATAAAATAAGCATATGCGCTAAGAGAAAGTGTAATCCGAAGTTCAAAAGAACGAATTGACCGCGTTTGATCGGCGTAACGATTGTAGCTGGAAACAGCAATGGAGAAAGTGCGAGGCTACCATTTCATTAGAATTATCGCATAGCACGTTGAATTATAAAGAATTATAGAAAACAGTATCTAAGAACGGTATTCACGGTTGAACGCCGCAGAGTCTCGCCACTAAAAAGAAAGCGAAAATCAAAAGGTATGCAAAGATATGAAAAGATATGAAAAGATATTTCAAAGCGACGATTTACGTAAAAACCGCGTTAAGATCGGCGATGTACCGGTCGACTCGCGACGTTCGCCGAACATCTGCGGTTTGCCGACGAAGCTGTTCGAGCGAAGAGTTGTATTAAATTCGTTGACCGGTTCGGATATATTCTTGTTCTCCGGAGTTTAGCAGAGGGCGAAATCGACAGCGCGAGAACGACGTTGGCAAAGAAAAGGGGAGAGGAGAGAAGTAACCGGAAAAGCTTTCGGTGTTCCCCGCGGGGTGATAAAAAAAAACTATCGGTCTCAGGCCAGCCTCTCGTTAGAAATGATTTCGGAAGGATGTCGAGCGGTAACGATTTAAGATCAACTGGTGACGGTGTCGTCGGGCTGGGTGTCTCGGTATTCCTCGCTCTCCCTGTGCACGAGGACATGAACGACCGTGGCGGCGGATTGTCGTCTAAGGAGTGCTGGCCTCGTAGGCGGCGCTGAATTCTCTGGACTGGGTTCCGTAACGAGTATGCTTACGTCGGTAGATTCGATTGGCAGCGGAGCTGGTTCGGGAGCTGGTTGATGTTTCTTTCGAAGGCTACCGCAACGTCTGCTAAATGCTTCCTTGATGTCACGATGCAAGGTGTTTAGGGAGAGCGTCGTGGCACTCGGCGGGAGCGATCTGCGCTTCGTAGGAAGACTTGGTACTTCCTCGTCGGGATAACTTTCGACGGCGTCCTGTCGGCCGAGAGTCGGTCCCGCGATCGATCTACTAATTATATATCACTCGATAAGTACGCGTCCTCCCTTCGTTGGATCAACGGCGAACCATCTCTCTCGCTTTTCGACGTTGAAAGGACAACGAATTACTTGACTTCCTCCGTTAACCCATTCGAGACCAGGGTTCCCTCAGGGTTTCTTTCGAATCGTCACTTTTACCAACACTGTTCGTCTTTTGTAATGCCGAGGATCTTGACTGCGGGTTACTCTTTTTGGGGTCTTGGCTTGAAACCAATAGAAGCTTGAGTTTTTCTAAACTTTCAACTGCCACTACTAAACTACATGGTTACGCTACGGTGGCACGCCTCTTTCGTCGCGAGCCTCGGCCTGACGGCTGAGGGAGCAGAGGCTGCACGCGTGTACTTGTCGTCGGGTCGCGCAAAGGACGCGATCGAGTCGGAGGTATGTATATATTATATCGTATATAATCGACGGCGAATCCCGGGGCTGTCGTTTCCCGATAGGACCAATTCCCTTTGCCCGCCTGCTCTCTTAGCCGTGTTAGCCGTCCTAGTCGTCACGCCTCGGAGGCTCACGACGAAAGAGGCGCGAAGTAGTCTCTCCACTACCGATAACGGAAATTCATGATGATCGAACCATATGTTTCTAGCGTGTGATCTAGCGGTCTCGTTGGCTAGGTGCTCCATCGCGCACTCGAAGTTGCTGTGAAATTCGTCTCGAATGGGTTATAATACAGTCGAACCTTTCCGCTTCACCGTGAAAACCTCTACGACTCGAAACAGGAGAACTCTGTGTTACACCGGTTTTGCTCGAGAACTCGGTACGACTCCAAGATGTCGAATCCTCGCGATTCGACTGATCAAGGTTCGACTGTACAACAGTTCAAAGGAACGACAAATTCGCTGTACATATTTACAGTGGTTGTCTTATTTCTACTCGATCTCGGTGATTCCATGTTCCGAAGAGTGAGAAATGGCGGAACGAACGCGTATCGGTGGGTCCGGTGGGAATGGGCGTGGAAGAGAAACGAAGACGTACCTGGTGTGTAGATCAGAGGAGGTAGGACTAGCAACGGGGCCACCAGCAAACGATTGTTGTTCCGTGGTCGGTGAGGGACGGGATACGGTCAGAGCGGGAGGAGGCAGGTCCTCGTGAGTACCGGTGGCGCCGGAGAGCAACAGCAAAGGCAAATTTGGAAAAAGCCATGCCGAGGCGGCACCAAGCTCGCTGAAATCGCTGGCGTCGCTGGCCCTCGAGGACTTGCGGCTACTGGCACGGCTACCTCTATGTACATGAAGAAAAGCCGATACTTTGCCACTCCATCCACCCCCGCCCCTACCCTCGTTCCCAACGCCGGGACTAGACGTTTGCGTTTGCGAATCCACTTCCTGGGCCATTCTTTCGCGTTCCTTTTTCGCTCTGCGGACAGACGGTGGTTTATTTTCTTCAGTTGTGCTAAAAGTAATAAATTACTCTAATAATAAGTGTAACCTCCAATAGAAAATACACTTACGCTATGAATTCTCTAATGGTGCGCTGAATCAGTCTGGCCGCTTTGTCCTGACGCTTCCACATCCGTGTCGAAGAAACAATTTCAAGCTCTTTGCGAGTAGGAAATTGCTTCTTGAACTTAATGTCCATTTGCTCCTGTAACTTCCGGAAGTCCTCGGACTCCTCGACGTGCCCGAGAACGTGCTTGACAAGTGCGTGTAGAATGTCCAGACAATGAATCTTATTACCCTTCGCGATAGGAAGATTGAAGCTGACCAACGCGACCATGTTGGGCTTCGATATTCCTAGTGGCGGGTCTAAGCTTGCTATAAAATCGCTCAACTGCGAGAAATTTATGAACTGCGTCGCATGCGGGTCGTACCTAAAAAATCAATGAGAATTTTCCCACGATTAGAGGCCGCGTACCACCGTGTCCGTTGGGAACAGCCGGAGAGGGGGAGAGGGTGAACGGGGGAGAGGGTGAAACGAGCAGGCCGAAACACGGGGGGCGATACTTACTTGGACCACCGGATGTAGAACATCTCCAAATCGTCCTCGACGATGCCGATCTCCTCCTCTTGATGGGCCTGATTAAAGTTCTCGAGAATAATGGCGATGTACATGTTGATGACGATCATGTAACTGATTATGATAAATGAGGTAAAATAAGTTATTGCCAAGAGAGGATATCCGCAATTCCCGTTCAACTGTCTGCTAGTGGGTGTCGGGTCGCAATCCGGTGGTTGCACCATCAGCGACTCCAGCACGTCGTTCCAACCGGCGGATGTCATTAATCGAAACAGTAATTGCATGCTTCTGCCAAAAGTCTCAAAATTTACCTAGTCAAACAGAAAAGAGGATTTGAATTGTGTTCGAGGAGCAGGGCCTTCTCACTTTCAAATCCACCGAACTTTCAAAGTGAACCGGACAAAGTTCGATTTCGAAGGAAAAGCTGCTCGAGCATATTTCGAATTTTTCAACTACTTCGATCGTCTTTTCTTCATTCCTTAAAGATTCTTCGGATTCCTGTTCACTTTCATTTCAGTTTGGGTATTGCTCGACCAGCTTCTTTGATAATCGAGTCGCCCAGAATTAAGCGAATAAACAGTGTTCTTTTTCTTTGGTTTCGATGCCCTATAATCATTCCGGAAGCCAAAACATGAATTTCCTTAATTGTTCTTCTCTACACTCGACCGCATTCGGCTTCCGAGCGACTCAGTTTCTAGCGTTAACCTTTTGCCTCGGAAAATTCGCGTTGAAACCATCACTGTCAACTGGCATTGAAACGGGCGAGTTCCGAGCGCAAAGGGTTAATTTGGTGGTCACGTTTCGTTTGACGGATGAAAGTGGTGAAAAGAACGAGAAGGATGAAAAGGATGAAAAGGATGAAACGGATGGATAGAGCGAGAAGGGACAATAGAGCGAACGGTTTGGCATTCGACTACTTACCATGTCGTCGAGTGCACCTTGCTTCCTGACGTGCCCGAAAACCGACATGCCGATGATGGCGTAAATAAACGTGATCAGGGCTAAGAGGGCACCGATGTTGAACAGCGCTGGAAGACTGACCACCAGAGCGAACAGCAGTTTTCGAATGCCTTTCGCGGCCTTTATCAGCCTTAAGATTCTACCGATTCTGAACACTCTCACTACTCGCAGGAGCGTCGGGGACACTGGGAAGTCTACCATAATATCCTCCATTAATATCCCTAGGATCGAAGCCAGCACTAGGAGGAAGTCGAACAGATTCCACGGGACCGTGAAATAATGGTAACGTAGTCCTATGATCTTGACGATTGCCTCTAAGCCGAAAACGGTCGTGAAAAACGCATTGGACACCTCTAGGACGAAGAAAATCGGATGCGGTTGATCGTAATGCTCGATCCCCATTGTCAGCATATTCAGGAATATCAAAATGAAAATTGCTATTTCGAATCTGGAAATATCGTTATTCGTTTCAGCGATTTGCCTTTCCGACCGACGATCGGTTGAGATCGGTCCGCGAGGTTTTTACGGGTCTTTTCTTTTC